TGAACGTGACATATTAAGGAATAATAGTTTTGGACTTAAAACATCCATATTTGATTGACTTGCGAGAAAAATGACACGAGCAATGTCGCCACTAATGTCACCCATCACGCCAAGTAGTTAGAAAACTGCTACCAACGGGCCCCAAGACATTGAAATAAGGCTACCAGCCTAAGAAATCCCGCGATTAAAAAAAAACAGGGCTCCTTTAGCGGAACGGAAAGGCCACTACGACCAGAACTGGCGCTCCTGCGTCGCTCTGCGCCGTTCCTGCAAGGTGAAATCCTGGCCGCGCCAATACACATGGCGATGACAGTCGCGTTTATCAATTAACTTGTCACGCCGCCAGAGTGACAAGTTAATGTACATGTGCACAGTAGCTAGCATGTGCACAGTAGCACGTGAATCATTGTCGATCGTCGGTATGATGTCAATCGTTCTGAGAGGAGCAGACCACAACTAGACATAGGAAAAACTTACAGCTCGGATAGACCGGGTGCGATTAGCTTTGCGGCGAACCCGTCGTCAGCGCTGACAATTGTGCATCAAGTGCCGCCACCTTCTGCACAAGCAAAGACAGACATGCATCTAAAGCAGTATAGTCAGAGGTATGCACATCACTCTGGGTGCATCCATAGCTGTTTGGTCAGGCATGCAAATGATCTATCGACCCGCTTGGAGCCCAGCAGTCGGCAGCAGTTTTATGCGGCAGTAGCGAGAGATTACGACACCATAACACGGCCCCCGTCGGTAGCTGCTCATACGACATTCGAGAGGCGCACTGCCAAGACGGCGCGGAATCAATAGCAGTTGCAGTCTTTGATCGGGACGATACGCAGTCGGATGCGCCTCGTTGTGCGTGTCCGCCCGGAGCCGAGCCTAACGACGCGTGCGCCGCGCTCGGCGGTGCCGCGCGCCTGTCAGCACGCGCCGCTCCTCAGCCCAGTCCCGCCTCACTGCACGGCCGTACGGCAACCGGCCCGGTGATGTCATGTGATGTGCGCAGGCCGTGTGCTTCGACACAGGCAGTAACCAGCTGGAAATATTGCTGTTCGCGTTTGCTCCACGCACTGTGGATACGGAGATAAAGTCTAGGGGAAGCATCACGACCACGAATACAGTGGGGCTACTTGAATGAATGTTTTGCTCAGTGATCGGAAACGTTGAACGTTAGAGAATGCTTCGCATCGGAAGATATTAAAGCTAGGATGATATATGATGAAACAAGCTTACTTGTAACTATTTGCGTGCTTTTCAAATGGAAAAGACTGCTCTTGACAGCACAGTTCTCTGTTTAGTAAATACCCTGCTCAATGCGTCATGGCTTGATTACGTCACCGTACCTTGCACAACATTGATTGATAGCCAATTAACGGCTGATATTTCTGGAAATCAGGCCCACGAACGCCAGGCATGAACACCTCGACAATCATGTTATTTGACCTTGTTTCCCGCATGACTTATGGAATGGCAGGATTTGAATGACGCTGTTATGACGTCATGAATGCACAGGTAACTTTGAAATACCCTCCCCGAAACACTATTTCCATCTTCGCGGGGGCGTAGCTCAGAAACTAGAGAAGCTTGGGTCTTAAGAAGGGCTGGGATGTGAACAGCATCGAAAGGTCATCAAGATGGCTTTTTAGTAAAAATATAAATATGGGACACTCTCTTTAAGGTTGAACATTAAACGGATGGGTTGCCATGACATTAAAAGGAGTGAAAGCAAAACTTGAGCAGCAATGCTCTAAAAAAAATAACTTACGCCCCCATAAACTCCGGCGCAGGGGGAGTTGGACAAAAACATTCATTTCTGGGATAGAAATTTTACAACTGAAATTACTATTACAACTTATTCCAATAAACTTAGGTTTGGTATGATGGTCAGGCTAAGGCTAAAACAAAATTGCTTTTGACTGGAGAAATTGCCTTTTAAGATAGTTATTGACGCTCACTTCGAATTTCTTGCTCACACGGATGTCGAAAGTCATTTTATGGAGTTAATGAAAGTCAGAGTGGGCGAACGACCTAGAATGACGCCGATCAGCCTCTTTCTTAGAAACATATCTCCTAACCTCATTTTTAAGGCCTATTCAAATAAAAAAATCAAAACAATTTGGTATATTTTGTCACGATGACCTTCAGAAGGTCAAAGGAAGTCTGTGACCTAAAAATAAACGCCCGTTTTTCTCAGAAGGGGAATATCAGTTTAAGATGGTTGCATCAGGTTATCTGACGCTGCATCGAACACCGATTTGGAATTTCACCTTGTTTGACCTTATTTGAACCGGAGGCCATGACAAAAGGACCTACAAATTCCGAACAAGTGGATTTAGATAGACTAGACCCACCCACTTAAATAGAATAGCTTAGATAGAATAGGTCTGCCTTCCCTGAGAATTCAAGATCGTCTAGCTCTATTAATTGTTGAAATGTTATGGTGGTCAAATTCATTCCCCACCCACCACCACCCACATCACCGGAGCTATACCATTCAACCAGCTTCTCGGGCACGTACGCCTGAAACTTTGTGGTCGTCCTCGCTGTCGAAGCCCACGTTCAACATGGCCGGCCTCGCTAGCACTGTACTGCGGTGATTCAACATTCATCCTCCCAAGCGGACAGGCTCCAAGCGAATCCCTCCAAGCGGACAGGCTCCAAGCGAATCCCTCCAAGTGGACAGGCTCCAAGCGAATCCCTCCAAGCGGACAGGCTCCAAGCGAATCCCTCCAAGCGGACAGGCTCACGTTAGCCAGCGCATGGCGGCCGGTCCTTTGAAGGGTTACCTCCTGTGACTCCCATCGTTGTCAGTGAACGAAAGACGTGACCAAAGACACCCTCATGGGGCTTAAGCGGGTTTCGGAGTGATATTTCTGACTATCGTCAGGGGCATCCGGACTCTTTTAACCGTGTCACGTTTTCAATTACTCCATTAAGACGCTTGAGGGGCGTTGCAAGTCTTCTACATGACAGTTTTGGGGGTGTCATAAAACAATCCATTGGATATTTTTAGGGAGTCAAGCCATGCATCTTAGAGCAAAGAGCAAAGACTGACAAAAGAATATCTAAATATGCTGTTTTTATTAATTTTTACACCCTTTAAAGATTGCCCCCCGCCCGGAAAACTCCCTGGGGAGTAAAATTTTAGTAAAGGATTACGCTAAGTGCCATGTTCCTTAAAAGTAAATGGTGAGCTGGGTCATTTTGGACCATAAACGTGCATATACACCACATTTATTCTTAACGATTTCGTTGTTTTGTTCAATTGGTTGGTGTATTCGGAGTGCTGCACGAATGCTCAGTTTCGCATTACAAGCAAAAATATGATGCTCTAATGTCTGCATTTTGCCTCCCCAAAAAATGTTCTGGTGGAAGTTGAATCTGCTTGAAGCATGAACGCACTTACAATGCATGAGGACATTTTGTATTACGTTTCGCGCGATGGTTGCTCGTTGAAAATAGACAACGCAGTCAATCCCAATGTTTTACATCAATGCCACTCTCATTATCACAACAACTTGCTAGATCAAAGAAGTAGTAGCGTCCATTATCGTATCAAATCATTAACACGCGCTCGCAGGGGAGTCAAATTGAGCCCCCCCCCCCCCCCCCCCCCCTGTAAGGTTTTTCCGGAATGGTCTTCGAGAGGTGCGGCGTAGCCGCGCTGGACTATTGTGCTAGCTCTAGACAGTTGAAGAGCGGATCATTTGGTGTATAAAATGTAGACGTACCTTGTAAGGTCGCTGATCTATGGCAGGCCAAATCAGACCTTGGTTTCAGCGAAGTCAACTTCTAGGGAACCGTTCAATTTGATGCAATAACGCAATGTTAGACGAAGCCATATATCTCTGAAATACTTTTTTAGGCAGCAGAATAACTGAATGAATAAAATACCTTGACCTGGGGTCAGGTATGAAGGTCAGACCAGGGTCAAAGCTAACCTGTTTTGTTTCTCTAGGGCTTGCTGTATGAAATAGTTTACGGTGCTCGAAGATCTTCTGGTGCTTCGAATTTATTGATAACAGGAACCGCATCATGCATCTTCCATGTACTTTTTCAGGTCAGAACAGGTCTGACCTTACTGGCCTAAAATGAACATCATTTGTTTTTGTTTTTTAAGAACATGCTCCCTAGCGTAATCTTTGTCGCTTATTTAGATACAAAACTCAAAGCAGCCTTGTGTGATTTTGGTAATCATGGCCTTCAAAAAATCAAACAAGGTCACTGATCTCCAATGAGCATGCGACCTTTTGCTTGGGACAGATATCATAGATTCTGGGGCACTTTGAAGATCAGCCTGGAATTTAATCTTGTTTGACCATTTTGACTTGAAGGTCATGACCCAGGAGTCTCAAACTTTGACCTAAGTGAGCTCACGTGCACGTCAACACGTAGTGTGAATTTCATATATTTAGCTCTCTCAGTTCCTGAGATCGCCGCGGGGTCAAATTAACCCCCACCCGGGCGCAAGGTATCCAATCGGTCACCCGGACACCTGTTAATAGCATCATACGTAGTATGCTGCAACAATGCAGGAAACATATGTGTATACCAGATGTACATCTTTTCCGGAAAGCGTCAGGTGTGGACGGCGGCGAGCCTTGTCCCTCAGAGTCCGGGACCATGCCAAGAGCCGGGCTTGCCCAGGGACCCGTGGCCCGGCTGCAGCTTGCGGGAGGGGCGGGGGTGGGAGGGGGAGGCGTTCTCCCCACCCGCGGTCGATCGCCCAGCGGGGGCCGCCGTAACCCGCCGTATGTCACAAGCCGCCCGCAGTCGCCAGCGCTATCAAGCGCGGCGCTAAACACTCTTCTGCGCCACGACCGCCGCCCTTCAATAAACAGCGCGGCAGGGGACGGCCCGCTGTCGGGCGTCCCCGCGAGCGCGCCGTGCCCTCAACAGGTCGCTGGAGCGCCGGCAGCGGCGGCGGCGGCGCTCGTGGCTCGGCGCGGCGAGCGCGGCGCATCGGCGCCGCCGACGGCCGGCGCAGTCCGAGGCCCCCGGGCGGCGGCAGAGGCCGACCGGCCGCTATGGACGGCGCCGTGACCGAACTGGCCCGTTAGCATACCGATTGGCGCCTGTAGCGGGCAGGCATGGCCGACCGCAGACCCAGGGACGGCGGCGTGCCGCTGCCCATCCAGCTCTTCCTCTGGCGGCAGACCAGGTGAGCGGCCATGCCAACGCAGCTGGCCGGCCCGGCACGCTCTGCTCTGCCCGACCGCTGGCTACCTGGCGCCCGTGGGTGACACGCCTGAATTCGGGATCACAAAGTTCAACTTTTTGCCGAAAACCAAACTTTCACGTTGATCGTCATTGTTACTCCCAATCATTTCATCCGCTCATGATGCGGTCGGACTTATAACTCGTTTGGAAGCTGGTAAATGAATCTTTTCGAAACATGAATATGTAAGCATGTATCACGATCACGTTGCAACGATTTTATTGTTCGGTAAGCGGATGGAAAATGGTAGCATCGGACTGACCAGACAGCTGCCGGCTGTGAGCCCCTTTATTAGGTGTGCATTGCACGCCGCCAATGCGGACGTCTGCGGGCGAATGTTGATTTTGAACGTTTCTTCGTCCCTCGCGATGTTAACTTCTTCACCACTTACTTGTCACCAAAAGTGCACCAACATCACCTTGCGGTCGTCCGTGTGCGCCTTTCGTCACGACTCGCGTGCCAGACAATTGCTGTTGTGGTTTGTTGACCTCTACAGCCCCGTTGCAGGGATTAAGCTTGCGCGATTAGGTCCACGTCACAATGATGAATCAACATCTTTGCTGGTGACTTCGTCAAAATCATGCTTTCAAAAGCGGAATACAAACAGTATCGCATGGCAATGCCACGGACTTTTGTTAGCTCGGCGGCGAGGCAGAAAGGCGGGCAAATCCAGGCCGGCCATGGTGTGTTCCCAGCTATTTACGCATTCATGGTCTCGGTAACTGTGTATAGTGACCCAGAAGTACTCCGTGAGCAGACCCAATCCCAGCTCCAGCAAGGATCAAGACATCCACGTATTTCACGTTTGACATATTTCCGTAGGAGCTTTTGCTCTTTTCCACAAAATAGGTGTAACCTGACAGGTTCTTGACACTGTTTTGATGCAGTGTCGAAACAAGAACAACCGTAATAAGAGTGTTCCTAGTTTTTTGGGGGCTTTCAAACTGAAGTGGTAACTTTGAAGAGCATTCGGTGCAGTTCACAGACATGTACTTCTTAAGACATCTTACACTCAAGTTTCTGAGCTATACGTCCGCAAAGGATGAGCAGGCTATTGCGTGCGGGCGTGCGCACGCACGGACGCATATATACATATATATATATATATATATATATATATATATATATATATATATATATATATATACAGCAGTGCAGCGATGAGGCCTCCATGCTATTCGTCTGAGCCGAGCAGGGACACTTTATCTCAACGGACGCTCTGTCATTAATGAAAGTGGCATAGTTGACAGCGATTCACTGAGCAGCCCTGGAGGTCTTCCAATCTCGTCAGCATTGGTTTTGGATTTTTAATAGTGCTCCGGCTGGGTAAAGCTTCAGACCAGGTCAAAAAAGGACGTGGGCGGAATTGTTTGCCGAACAGTGGAGCATAGCTGATATGACATGACAGGCTTTGCGCACGTTGATCAGGGCTTTTGATTGTCACGAGGTCATTTCAAGTTCACTCTTCTAGTTCCGACAATGTCTACAAGATATGAACTGCATGACAGCGATGCCAAGAAAATATGCTAAGGTCATTGGGACAGCTCATGCGGTATTTTTGTTTTTTTGTACCGCCGTAGTACACTTTGAATTCTAATGCTTACTATTCAGTGCTAGACAGACCTTTCGCGGTAGCGTCGCATTACCTGTTACGTCCGATTACTTGTTACGTCCGATTACCTGTTACGTCCGATTACCTGTTACGTCCCATTACCTGTTACGTATCGTGCATTTTTGCAGAACGCATCCATTTGACAGAATGTGCCACCCCCACCACCCATGGTTTTAGTCTGGCATTCATCTGTTTGATTTAGGTTTCATCAGGTTATTTTGTGTGCCATTCCATAGTTTCGCATTGCTTTCCACTCGAGAATCTGCGCATTTCACAACATGGAGAATATTCATAATTGCGCTGTTTCACCCAGCAAAATTTATTTCGGGGTTCACAACTTTTGCACTGAGTACTCACTAGCTGAATAGGGAGTGGAAACCAGCTCTGTGAATGCAATGTGTCGTTTTATAATTTTTCCTGCAAGCAATTTTCCCATATGGTTCATGCTGGGAAAGTGCCTTAACACTGTCCCTCCGCTTTTCAGCCCATTTATCCGGCCAAAGCTTGGAAAACTTCACGAGGCCACCTGTGTGGTAAGTTTGTGATGGTGCTATCTCCAGGACGTAAATGACATCCTGTGTTTATTGCACGCTGCTGGCGAAGACGTCACAGATTAGTTGTTCAAGCTGTGGAAACAGCTGTTAATCCTCACCATCCAGAAGGTTTTCACCTTGCCGTACGAGGGGCAGACTCAGAGGTACCCACAAGGTCTAACAAAAGCAATTAAGCTAGATATATGCGGAAAGAAACATTTGAAAGCTCTCGTCAAACTGCACCAGTTAATTACGTCTGAACAATGGTAAATGTGGCATTCAACAGGTCAAGTGGTGGTGAACGCGTCAAGTGAGCACTTTGTAGATCCCTCCTGGCTTCTTTGATCTCAAGAATTAAGCATGACAAAGTCATGACATAACAGACAATGCGGAATACAACGTTACGAATTAAGCATGACAAAGTCATGACATAACAGACAATGCGGAATACAACGCCCTTGAAAACTATCAGACAGGCGCTAAAAGACACCGACTTATATTTCCTGTAATAGGTATTTGTCAGCTGAAGCGGGTGAAGGTGATGGGGGATATATTAACCGGATGGATGGTGCCGCCGGTTCTCACCGGGGACGGGGGGGGGGGGGGGGCGGGTTTTAACCCCAGTTACACCATGACCGCTGGGCGCTAATATGGTATCTGTAATTGTTAGATTTCCATAACAGGGTGCGCGACGATGTGCGTCTTGGCTCCTAGCAACAGGGTGAAGGCGATTGCCACACATAGGGCTGTCCACCTATGTGGAGAATTTAGCGGGCCACATTAATGGGAGAATATGGTCAGAAATACTTTTCAAGTGGTTGGGTATGTGTCGATAGGGTTTAAATCGTATGATCTTAGAATGGTCAAATCTGGTCATCAAGTTTGAAGTTTGACCTAGCTTGACATTTGATAATCTGATCTTGCAAAAATCACCAGAGTGATCATAACTTACTTCGGAATGATACGGATACGAATATGTGTTAATGAAACCTTTGTTAGATGTATCTTCTGCGAGCAATAAGTGTTATTGTTCGCTTTTGAGCAAAATGTCACTGACATGACCTCAAAAAGCAGGTCATAGATCATGACTTGACAAGTAAGAAGGATATCAGCGCAGGTACTCAAAATTTCAACATTGTATTTAAAACCTTCAGACGTCATTTCGGAGAATCCGTAGGGGCCTCTAAGCCCGTTGGTAGGGAAGGCTTAACTCGTGCCCTCATCCCCGTTTTCATAACGCAGACTGATAGGGGCGTCGATGTGACACCACCCCTTCCCTATGGCGTACCAAGACTAATGAAGATAAGGCTTAGCAGGAAACGCCAGTGCACTGGTCACAGTGAGATCTCACGACGGGTAACAGATTGGTATTACTAGATAGGTATTTAGTACCATATTGGTACCAGATTTAGTGCCATTGACATTTAGTACCAGCTCGGCATTGGTATGTTGTTAGGCCAAAAATTAGCCCAATAATGTCAGGTCAAAGGTCAATTCTTTAGAAATTGCACGTTTCAGCGATGCTAGGTTTTGGGGTGATACTAGGGCGTGTCCCTTGGGTGTGTTCCTACGCAGGCGTGTTGCTTGTTCCATTCTGAGTACAACTGTGTATATTGGTACGCGTTTTGAACATAGACTTGTTTTACCGCAAAAATTATGGTGGGACGCAAATCGCTCATGTCAACCTTTTTCCTTGGGTTCTGATGTCAACATAAGCAAACAGGAAAGAGGCGCAGAAAGAAGCAAAGCAAACGGATGAATGAATAAGTGTAACACAATATTAGCATCCTTATTCCCCGTAAAGTAAACAGGAGAATGGAGGATAGATCCGATATTTCGGGTACATGCTTTCATAAAAACGAACATCATCAATAAAATCAAAGTTGCCTGCCGATCCTACTCTATTTTTCAGGTTGTTTTAAACAATTGGCCACAGTTTTTACAGGCCACCAACATTCAGGGGATTGAACAAGGAGGAATTATTAGCCATTTATACGGTACAATGCATATCTGACTAAAAATTAAGATGCGCAAAAGAATACGCGTACATGCAAACGAACTCAAATAAACAAGCGTCATGCATAACGCATCATTCATAAACGCAAGCGAGTTCAAACAAATGATTTCAAGTAAACAAGCATCATGCATCAAGCATCGCTTAAACATGCAAACGATTCCAGTTAAACAGGCATCACGCATCACGCGTCATGCATCACTCATGCATGACAACGATTTTAAGCCAGCACGCATCACCGCACCAATCACATTCGTATGATCGGCCATGATAAGCCTTATAATATCTTAAGGCTTGGTCGCCGACTTCTCATCACAAAATATTTACATATTTTCCTGTCTGGATGGTCCTGTGCTCTGTAGATGGATCATCCAGACAGGGGAATAAGTGAATACATTCTTATCAGAAGTCGGCGGACGGACCTTCACGTGCAAGGCTCATCATGACCGATTACGCGAATGTGATTGGTGTCTTGATTTGTAACGCGTGCTAGCTTACAGCTGTTTGTATATCGGAGTGGTGCGCGATGAGTGGTGCGCGAGGCCGGTTTAATGGAAATCGTTTGCATGTTTAAGTGATGCGTGGTGCGTTATGCCTGTTCACTTGAGAACTTTTCTTTTAAATCGTTCGCATATATGAATGATGTGTTTGGCGTGATGCCTGCTTTCCTGAATTCGTTTGGTTGTACACGCATTTTTAGCATATTTCAATTCGTAGATAGATGTGCACTGTGTCATAGAAATGGCTGGTAATGACTTACTATTTAATTCCTGGAATGTAAGTGACCTGTAAAATTGTGGCTTGCTGTTTGTTTTAATAGCCAAACAATTCAGTAGGATCGGCAAAAAATTGCGAATTTTCTGCTGATATTTGTTTCGATAAAGGCATGTAGCGGAAATATCACATCTATCTCTTCATTCTCATGTTTATTCTACGAGATATAAGGCTATTAATACCGTCTCATCTATATGCATAATGCTCCTCGCAAATGCACTTAACAACTTACGTAATGAATTAATGTGATCTAATGATATCACGAATTGCAACTAATTCTTTACATCTTGTTAAGAGGACTCATCCACTCTTTCATTAGCAGTCTAATGCTAGCCTCGGCTCTCTCAATGTGGGACACAAGTACCTAAGAACGGAAGAACAAGTACCCGAGAACGGAAGAAGTGGTACACTCCCCCGCATTGCATTTGGCAAGCCTCGCATATAGCGCTGGCCAAAAGCCGGAGCTCACTGGCTCTGTTCTCCTGGCCGGGTATGCACGCCGTCGCCCCGGACCCTTCCGTCCCGACCCCAGGCCGCCATCCCTTCCGGCGTGTCTCCGACGGTATCGTCGATCGCTCGACACGCAGCGCGTCCCGGCGCCGGCGGCGGCACGGCGCGGCGCGCCACATGCCAGCTGCGCCTGCGGGAACCTATTTATTTATCCGCCGACTGGTGCGTTAATAAATTGTTTATTGGCCAGACATTACGGCCTCATCGCAAGAGGGCAGCCGACTGGGTGCAATCTCGGCGCCATGTGCTGACGCCTTGGCGGCGCTGCTAGGTGCCGGCGGCGCGGCGCTGAAGCGCTGTGTCCGCCGTGTCCGTGTCCATAGGCACGGCGAGCCGTTGGACAGGTCGCGCCGACTGGACACCTGTGGATGCGCCGCCGGCCGCCGCCGACCTCGCCGCCAGCAACAGAGATTGTTATGTCGAGAGCTGGGCTGGAGGCGGCCGGCAATGTTGCCATAGCAACGCCAGAGGAATCGATCGGCGCTGGTGCCCGAGTGCCGAGAGGCGGCCGATCGGGACGCGCACTACTGACCGCCGGAATCGAATCTCGCTCGGCCTGATGCGGGAAAACCGCCGCGAAAACTGGCCGGCGCGCAGCGTGAAAAACGCCGATCAGCGGCCAACATGGCCGCCAAATCTCTCCAGCTCAAAGAGGAAAAATCACGAAAACGTCGGCGGTCTCTGCGTCTGGCGTCTGGCGAAACGTTTTGCCGTCGTCTGAGCCTGGAGGTCGGATGGCGCCACGGGACGCCGCTCACGACGGAGACGGCCGGCTGCTGGAGTGGGGCCGCACTGAGCATATTGATCGGGCCGTCGCCGCGTGCCGAGCGGCGCTCTGCGAGCAGCGGAGACCGCGCTCTCCGAGCAGCAAGACTGCGCTCTCCAGAGCACACTCGGCGGCCGGCCTCGACACCCCAACACGCCGGCTGAGACGAGACCAGCTTTATGATGCGTCCACACAGCAGTATGGGACGTTCCGGCCTGCCGCAGTGCTCAGCCGAGCGTGGTACCGGCGAGTTGTGAGCTGGCCATAGGCGGTAAATATACTCAACATTATGCCCTAGTAGACCGGCGAGCAAATTCGGATACTTTAAAGGGCATCGATTACAGGTCTGACATTGCAGTGGCCTCATGGCATGCTGCTCAAATGAAGCATTTTCGATCAATCCATCAATCTAGCCATCCATCAATCAATGTCATTTATCGTTGATGTCTAACACCGATGGATGTTAGTGATATAATCAACACTTGCAACCGGAGCAAAGTGACTCTTGTCTTACCTGATCTGCATTACTAACGTAATTACACGAGGTCTGTTATCATCCCCCATCGCTACGTCACCGACGTACACTTGTTGCATGCAGCCCGGAGAAGTTCCG